TATATAATTTTTTCAGTACCAGAATCAGTAATTAAAAGTTTGTTAACTAGCAATAAATTATATTAACATGCCCTGGCACAAAACTGGTTTTGCCCACAACAGACTGAAGCAGGAGATGGCTGCAAAGGCTTCAAGGCCAGCCCAGCACACAGCCTGCACAGAGAAATGGCCAACATCCCTCCCTCCCCACCACAGGAAGCATTTGGCCCAAGCACTGCTTCCCCTCATCTGCCCCCAGAGGCCAACCAGCCATGTCCAGCTGCTGGTCCAATTTATGTCACCTCTGCAGGACTTTCACAACCACTTGTGCACACCCAGAGCCCTGCAGCACCCTGAGGTTCAACATTTGCTCACAGGAAGCCTTCCTCAACTGCCAGGTGAGTTATGGCATGATGGAAAGCAGCAAGTTGTCAGGCAAACAGCAAAGCTGGAGGCAGTCCTAGTGCAAGAGGCAGCACAGCCGCAAGGACCAACTCCTGTTGCTGGATGGGCAAGAACAGGTCCCACAAAGATCTGCCAGGAGTCAGGGAGGCAAGGTTCAAATGACTACAGGCTGGCCAGTCCTGCCCAGAGAAACCTCCTTCCAAAAGCCAAAGAAAAATCCAGGCTCTGGGACTTGTTTCTAGGATGCAATACTGAGACACAAGACCCCAAGGAGCTTTTGCAATCTCTGGCCCAGGACGCCTCCACCCTGCTTCATCTGCAAGGCAACACCACTGCAAGAGCATAATTTAATCCAGTAAACCGAACCCAGCAGCTGGCAGTGCCAGTGAAATTAAGACCCCTGTTTTGCTGTGGTGGATGCACCCTCAGCACTTTGCTGGCTGCTGTCTGTAGCAAGAGAGGTAGCTTTGATCTGCAGGGTAGCAAGGAAGCTACCCTTTTGTTTGGGAAGCCTGTTGCTACATTCACTCAATTCCCCCACATGCTACAGCTCTCCTCCGTCACCAGACAGGGCAAAGACAGACAAGTTCGCCCAAAGGCGCCAAGTTCAGTGCACTATTTACAGCTACTAACCTGGACACAAGAGCCACAGAACCACTGGATGACACGCCAGTGACAGAAGAAGCATCTGAGTCACCTGCAGGAGGGGACAGACTCAAGTTTTGTCTCCATGGGGAGTAAATGCACACAGAGTTAGAAAGGGAAGAGAGAAAAATGCTCAAGGCGACAGACCCTTCCCAGCTGCCCAGAATCCTTGGATCCTGGATTTTTCCCACTAATTGGTGGCACAAAAGGCAGAGCAGAGGGCAGAGCTGACAGCCCTGCACAGAGAAGAGATGGGTAAGTTTTGGAGCAGGACAGTGGTGAACCCTAGCCTGCTCCCCAGAGGAACCCAGCAGTTCCGCCTTGCTGCTACATCACTTTTGGGTTCAGCACAATCTCTAGGTCATCCTGAAATGACAGCATGAATATAAGACAGGAGGGCAGCTGTGCTCACCCCAGCTCCCAGACAGCCCCCACACTCCCCACCTCGAGGCATGCAACACAGCCCTCCCTGGGGAACCAGCACTTACTGTCCTCATCCTCCTCCTGACTGCAGCTCTCATCCAGGCCATCAGGAAGTTCTTCCTCCACTTCGTCCTGGGGATGGCTCAGATCCAGCGGTGACTGCTCAGCAGTGACACTAGGACAAAGGACATCACATCAGAAGGAGTGGCACATGCTTTCCAGGGCCAAAAGACCCAGAAGTCTGAGGCAGTATGAGATAACATGGGCAGGGGAGTGACAGCACTGCCTTCCCCAGTGCTGATGTACCAGCACTCATCCCAAACTAGCAAGATGGAGAGGCCCCAGGGCACCCTGAGAGGGAACGTTTTCCAGAGCTGCCAGAAAGAGGCACAAGGACACCCTCTCCCAGCAGGAGAGCAGGAGCAGGAGCTCCATGTCCTTGCGCCCTCCCTGTCCTGCATCAGCTCTGCATTTCTTTAGGAACCCATGTCTGTGCCCAGGAAAGCCTTGCTGGACCTGGTTTGACAGCAGGCTTCACCTAACATATGTGCAGAGCCCGTCACAGCAGGCAGAGCCTCACGACTGTGCAGGGAGTGAGCTAGAAATACCACACAGCAATTCCACGCTGCGGCTGAAGAAGGTGGAAGGGCTCAGAGCCACCTGAGTGCCTGCTCAAGCTGGGGGTGACAGGAAGGCTCTCCCCATACCAGGATGCCGCAGGTGGGTTTTGCTCAGGGACGTAGCCCATGGTTATCCTTACGGCCACTCCCGTACTACCCACAGTGCATCCTCTCCCAACACACACAGATGCAACGGCCAGCCCAGCCCACCACGGCCTCCCTCATCCTCCTGGCTCTACTTACTCAAGCTCTCCCGGGAGCACAGCCTGGGTCCGTTTCTCCTCTTTCTCCAGTTGGATGGTGGACATCTGAGTAGCCACTTCAGAGATGGCAGCGAGGTGCAGAGGCTCTGCTCCCACCACCTGGTCCCCGCTGCACGGGCTCAGCATGCTCACAAGCGAGCAGTCGGTGTTGCGGTCGGGAGAGTCAGCGCACGAGGCCAAGAGATGGACGCTGATATGCTTAGTGCAGACGACGGCACCATCGGTGCCTATAAGGCTTGAGTTACCGTTAAGGCAATGGCTACCCAGCTCCAAGTTCAGAGGAGCGATGGTTTCTTTTGGGGTGAGCTGCGCTATGATGTGCTGCCCCCACCTGCTGTTCCAGTTGGACAGGCTGCCCACGTTTGTAAGGCCAGAGCTTTGGACTTCATGTCCAAAGCTGTTGTGTGTGGCAGGCTGTCCAGCTAGCTGCTGCACACCCTCTGTGAGGCTGATCTCTGGCTCCTTCTCTTTAAAGCTGTGTGCTCTCCTCTCAGTGTCCTCTCGCGAGCACCAGTCCTTCCTGAGGATCGCACTGCCGGGCACATGGGTCAGGGAGGGGACTGCAGTTTGCTCCAACACAAGGTTGCTGCTTTTCACTGCTTCGTTACCCAGGCTGCCAGGGGAGCTGTCTCCATCATCCCCGGAGTGAGGCCATGAGGCAGCAGGGAAGCTGGAGGTGTTTTTCACTTTCTTGATCTCCAGTGACTGCAGCAAAGGCACTTTAGCACTGCTTGGCCGTAGGAAGGAGTTGTTATTGAGCACTGGTCTATAGGAGCTGGAAGCCTGCTGACCTGAGCTGAGGGCAGAGGCTTTGACCCCAGTTCCAGAGTGCTCCTCCACCAGCACAGGCAGCAGGCAGGGCTCCATCAGCAAGGAAGACATCGTCCTTCCCGTGGCAGAGCTGGTGTCCAGAGGGCTTCGGAAAGGAAACCTGTAGGGTTTGGGTCTGAGGCAGGAGCGTCGGTAGAGCAGAGCACTCCCGCCCAGGTCCAGGCAGGGCTGGGCCAAGGGCAGGCTCGGGACGGCGTCCTCACCGGGATGCACATGGCATAGCGACGGTGGGCAAAAGAAACAGGACTGCTGCAGAGGGATCCCTGAGGGCAGCAGGCGGTGACCCTGGAAAGCACTCACATACTTCTTCTCTAAATTCCAGATGGGTTTCGCCTGCTGCTGAGCAAGGTGACAGGCCCGTCGTGGCTCAGCTCTTCCTGACGGAAGGGTGCCTGACTTCAGCCCGACACTCTTCTCCTGTTTCGGGCCCAGATTAGCACGTTCTGGTTCTCTAGAGGCCATGTAGAGCCATAGCACATGAAGCACGAGCAAGTCAGTCATCTACAGCAGCATCTTTGCTGGCCTGAAACAAGATGACAGCATGAAAGGCACTGTTACCCTGGCAGGTCAAAGCGCATGGCCCAGTTCCCCAAGCAGGGAGCAGGGTGCATTGCTTTCCCTGCAGGACAAAAAAAAACACGTCTCCATCTGCTGAGCTCCCCAAGAGTCTCCTGGGACCAAGTCAAAGGAAGAGCTGGCATCTCACATGAAACCAGAGGATGCGAAGGACAGTTTAGAGAGGGTCCTGGGAAAAGTGCCGTGCACAGGAAAGCTTATATCCTGCAAACGTGCAGGGGTGCCTGGTTGCCAGCCAGGGCCATGGGGCAGCAGCACCAGCACAGCAGCCCCAGCTGCAATGGGAGGTCACCTGCCCACCTGCCTCGGACCCGGCACAGCACCTGGAGCCCACTCCCATGGGTCTGCATCTCCAAACTGTACCATGTCCTCCACCACCAGCTCTCCCGACTCCACTGCAAGGTCCAAAACGTCTGCTTCTTTTTCTTCTCCCCACCCCTTAAAGCTTCAGCTCCCAAGGTCACAGAATTAGGTGAGAACACCAGCTCCTGCTTTTAAAAGGAACAAGTTTCTCACTTTTGTAACCCCATGGAAAAGCTCAGTGAGGGCTGAGGGCATCCTAAAGAGCTCAGGACTGAGAAGGCAGCAAGGAGCAAACATAGGGTTGTTCTAACACCAAACACCTCCGTTTCCAGCAGAGACTGGCAATACCGTGCACATGTTCCTCCCCATTGCAGTCCTACAGAAAAGTCTCTTGCAAGGAGCAACTGGCAGACCACAGAGCTGCAGATGTAGGCGTCCTGAATCCTCCTAAAAGGAACTATTGCACCATGCCTGTAAGATCCTCTTGCCTGGGGAGAAGGGAAAAAAACAAACCATTCACCAGGTATTTGTCTTGCCTTAATACATGCCTGGAGGGCCCGTGGATACAGCTGCAACAGGAATTTGTATCCGCCCAAGCAGGCTGGCTGGCTGGCTTGCTCTTCCACCTTCCAGCTCTCCCAAGCTTGCATGTTTAAAAAAAAAAAAAGTATAAAAAGAAGGGTAAGCAGAGCATCAACCATCACCCTCTCAGTGTCCTTGCAATACACATACACGTTCCTCTCTCACCTGAAAATCAAGCCTTGGCTGTAGCAGTTAAAGTGTAGCTAGGAGACCACTATCTGATCGCTACCCAATCTATGCCCAGCAGCAAACCCGGCCATGTTGTGACATTCACAGCGATTAGCACGGAGCGAAGAGGCTGTGGCTCAGATGCTGCCACCTGCCCAGCTCAAGTTTCCCCCAGTAAACAAGCGAGTGAAGCTTGGCTTCTGCACACCATCCCCCTAGATGCACCGGCAAGTGTGCTCGAACCACAGAGCGACCCTAGCACACCGTCTAAGGCAGATGTGAAAAAGCAAAATAAAAATACAAAGAGAAGAATGAAAGTGTCCTCGATGTCCCTGCCTAGAGGGGACTGTCACTGCAGCATCACCCCGCGCGCGCGCTGCCAGCTTGGCCATCGCCCGAGTTCTCACCCGGCTGTGAATGACCTTGCAAAACCAGCCTGCAGTGAAAGCCACCTGCGCCTCATCTCCACCCGGCTTTACAGCTATCAGTGGTTCATCCTGCTATAAAAATAAAAGGGATTTGGCCTAATGAAGCTGTAACAAGGGATGTGAATCCTACACCCAGCTTAGACGAAGGCGCGAGTATGCCGGCAGAAGCCCTGTATGACCCTGCTCCGGAGTAAGTGATGACAGTGGCACAGATGTGACCAGCACAGGCACGGCGCTACCGCCTGCAGCCACAGCTGCTACGGCAGAGGTCTGGCCACGGCATGGCCTTAGCTGCCACTGCCTGCTTGGCCAGGGCTGGACCCCAGCCCTGCAGTGGCAGAGGGAGAACACGCTGAGCCTGCCCCTTTCCGGAGCGGTTTTGCTGCAGAGTCGCAGAAGCAGCTGGGCCAGCACGGGGCAGGGGTGCACTGGAAACAGTGGCTGCAGAAGGAAGCGGCAAGGCCTTTCATACAGCTTCCAGGCAAGGACAGTGCATCCAAAGGCTCGTAACCACTGCCGTAACTGCCAAACATCCAGGAGAATCTGCGGAGACAGAGGCACCTTCACATGCCAGGCCGTAGGCACAACAGGACAGCAGCTGCCACGTTCCTGCGGCTCTGGGCATGAACCACGTCACCTACTCCACGGTAAATTCCCACTCGTTACCAGTCAGGGAAGTTTTCCCTTTATGTTTAACTCGGTCAGAGTTTTGGGGTGGAGGAAGGTCACAGCTTGATGCAATCCCTAGTTCTGCCAACCCAACCCTACGGCAAAGGAGCATGAGTTCGTTCTGCTGCTCAGAACAGCAATAAAACTACACTTGGAAATTTTATTGTAGAAACATGAGCTAGGAAAAGCCCAGGGTGAACTGGCCAGGCTGGAAGTCAAACCCAAACATCATTACTGGTAATTAATGGATTTTGGCTTGGACTTATTGACACACAATATAGAGGCCAAAGTTGTCGCTGTTGGAGTGACCGTACAGCTGCACTTGCTTACAATTATTTCGCTAGCACCTTTTATTATCGCAGCCTGCTCGCAAGCTTTGGGACGTCAGCTGGAGCGCTGCCACAGCCTTTACGAATGTCACATCACAGGTGCCCAGGGGCCACCACACGCCCCGGCCCGTGCGCACCCCACTAAGCACCAGTGGAAGTCCCTTCTCCCAGCCCCAGCCTCCCTGCGGTATGTGCTCCTCTAACGGCAGCGTGGCAACTCCTCGCAGACCCGTTTGCAACAGGAAAGGAGGAGACCGTAAGAGCCCAGGCATGCACATCATCCCTCCGTCACACAAGTTTGGCTGGGGAGGTTATTTTAAACACAGCTGTGGTGACACGCTTAAAATAACAAGAGCTTGCAAACGCATGAGCTGCAAGCTGCCCTGATAATGCTCTGTCAGCCTCACACAGCCCAAAGGCACGGTGGTGGGGGGCAGTCAGACACCTGTGATGCGCTATTGTTTTCTATGCCATTGCAGGGTGCAATTTCTGTTCTTTACGATTAGAAAGGATAACATCTTTTTCTACACGAGATCTGAGTTCACAAAGTTCCTCACTTGCAGCTCTGGGGCTTTTGATTACAGCTTGAACAAGTGAGTTAATGCAAAATAAACAGGTTTTAAAACCAATATACATTTCAAAATAAGGGTTTGTACCCCTTCAAAAAATTAAAAAGCTTTCAACAAGATCAAGCGTCTTGATCTGAAATCAACTGACTGAGAGTGCCTAAAGCTGCTCTTACACCTGGGAGATAGGTACAAACTCCTGTGTTTCAACAGCACGGAAAAAACCCCCACCTACATCAGCTCCAGGAAACAAGCGGCCTCAAGTGCAGTCACACACCGAGACAAAGCAGCATCCGAGGCCACCCACAAGTTCAAGCTGAAAAGCAGAGGGTCCTGTTGGCCACGAGAAGAAGTCCACGAGGACAAGACAGCTCAGAGACAGCTCGGCCACCACGGAAATGCCAGCGGCACAGCAACCAACAGCCTAGCGTGCTGCTTTGCCATGCCGTTAAGCATCGTTGCTCCCTCTCAGCTCCAGTATTGTCTTGCAGAACCGCGTTTTGGGTGCAAAACCAAAGGCACAGGATGACAACCAATTTCTCTCCTAATCAAGACACCAAGTTTTTGCTTGGCCACTCAGGTCAAAAAAAAGATACCAGTGAGAAACCACCCACTGTGGGGACGTGTCAGCAAATTCCACCTGCATCCCAGGATTACATTTGTGCCTGGCATTTGCGCTGGGGCTAGTCATTTCAATTCAACAGCTGTGGTGCTGAACTCTACTTCATGCTGAACAGAGAAGACAGGAGAAGTGCATGGCTGCCCAAAATGATCCTTTAACTGAGCCGAGCAGCTCTGGTGTGCGCTCCCAAGGCGGTGGGGAGGGAGGGAGGGAGGGAGGCAGACCTCACGAGCAGCAGGGCACTGGACCAAGCCATGGGAGAGCTGGAATCCAGCCGCCTCCTCACTCTGTGCCGCAGCAAATGCCTCCCTCCGCACACATGGGCTGGGCTGGGGACTGAAGGCTCATGCATTCAAATTCACAGGGGACTTTCTCACTGCTCTCAGGGCATCAGAGCACAGTGTGGGATGAGGCGAAAAATCCAGGGCTGCAGCTTTGCCATGGGGAGAACACACCAGGGACATCTAAAATAAAGGGCTGGCTCAGTGCTTGCCCCAGATGGGCTGACCTGGATGTGACCAGAGAAGGCAGGGGCCACACCAAAGGTCCAGAGCATGGAGTCCCCATCACTATTGACTTTTCCACCCTGACAGAGTCCCCACGCCACCGAAGGGGACCTGCCGCACAGCAACAGCAGACCACACAGCTCTGTGTTTCCCAAGCAGCGAAGCTGGGAAGCCCCTGCCCTCGCTCCCATCCCTGATTCATACTTTCTCATCATCTGGGTTATGGGAGCAGCTGTATTGCAGCATAAACTAAAGTAGAAAAACAAGTCTGGGTTAAAAACAACCAGCTAAAGCATGAGGTGTTTTACAGCCTTTCAGTGAGGAGGTCTAAAGCATCTTCCTGCAGATCCGAGCAGACAGCAAACTGAAGAGACAGCATTCTCAATTGAGCTTCATGATGGGAGAAAAGGTACAGGAGAATTACGCAGCGAGACCTGGGCAGAGCTTGGCCACCAGTGCAGGAACCGACAGGCAATCAGCACAGCTTGATCCGGTTTTAGGCAGCCTGGCCACACTCCCAGCCTTTGGCAGAGAAATAAAATAAAAGTGGAAGACTCGGGGCGAGTGGAACAAGTATAAAATATCAACACATAACAAGGAGACAAGAACTACCTAATTAGTTCAAAACACATCAATTCCTTGTCTGTCCCCTTTTCTTGACACTTTTTTCTGAAATATATCTGGAACTGGTAGAAAAAGCTCCCAGGTCTGTC